GGGAAAAAAAAAAAAACCCTGTCATGTAAGAATAAAAGAGAAGTTATAACATTGCCAGATAAACAAAGGCTAAAGGAATTCATCACCAGGAGAACTTGGCTACAAGAAATGCTAAAGAGAATCCAGGGTAAAATGAGAGGAACCTGTGTAATAAATCAGAGCAATACGAAGAAATAAAGATCTYCAGTAAAGGTTAAAAAGCTAGTGTTACTTTGTTATGCTGTTGGGTTATAAGTGATGTGTGTGATTTAAGAAGTAGATGCAGAAAACAGTAATTATAAATCTGTGAAAATTGGGGACACACTTATAAAGATTAAATTAGTTGCAACAATATAAAGGAACAGATTTAATGAATGCTGTTGAAGCCAAGTTTGTATCAATTCAAACTTGGTTGATATAAATTTAGGATTTAACTCTAGTCCCCATAGTAACCATTAGGAAAATAAAATATACAGAAAGGGATATGAAAAGGAAACCAAAACCTGTCAAATCCAAAAGGAGGCAATATTGGGGAAATTAAGGAACAAAAACAAAGGAAATATAGAAAACAAAAGCAAAATGGCAGAAGTTCTTATTTACCAGTAATCACATTAAATATGAATGTAACAAATTCATCAATTAAAGGATAAAGACTGATTGGATGATTTTAAAAATTTGATCAAGCTATATGCTACTCACTTTAGACCCAAAACACAAATAGGTTGAAAGTGAAATGATAGAAAAAGATAATCCATCAAATAGCAGCCAAAAGAGCCAGCATGGTTACAGTAACATTATACGTTAGATCTAAGTGGAAAGTATTAGGAGAGAAAAACGACAGCACGTTGACACTCATTCAGCAGACGTGATAAGGGTAAACATGCAAGCACTAGACTCTGAAGCTCCAAAGCCTGTGAAACAAACACTGAAGGAGGGAGGACTCTGCACTACAGGTTTCAAGGCCTATTCTCAGCAGGGGGACTGTCTACCATAGGTCAGAAAGGAAGGAGGAGACTTCAGGGCACAGGTAGCCAACTTTTTCTCCACCAGTTGAGGACTGAAGTTACACATCCATAAAAAACACTGTGAAGTCAGCAGAGGGTGGGGACACTCTGGATGTGCAAAGGCAAGGTGTCCCGGGTGAGCATGCCACACTCAAGTCTGCACTGACCGCACACAGGAGGACCTTGGGAAATGTCCATGAGCCTGTTTTCTAAACACAACCTTTTCACTTGGCCAAGACACAACCTTCTCCAGGAATTTTCCCCTGCTGTCACCGAGGCTGCCACCCAAGACTGTGGCCCCTGGGGTTAGGCTGAGGCCCAGTCCTTCACACAGACCTGCTGGGCCCTGCACACACAGCTTCCCAGGGGGGCTCTAATGCAGATTCACAGGTGAGGGTGCCAAATCTGGTCATACCTGGGCTCTGGCCTAAGAGTGGGTCTGAGAGCCCTGCTGGCCATAGTGGTCCTCTTCCTTGCCCTCACTGGCCCCAAAGTGGGGCCACGGGGCCCTGGAACATGGCTCACCAGGCCCACCTGGAGCGACAGCAGTCCTTGGTCTCTTGCTTCCTCTGTGTGTCCCCAGGCTTCAGCCAGGTGTGTTCCTGTACATCAGTGAGTTTCCGGTCCTGCTCAGAGAGTGCCTGACTGGACTGGCAAAGCCATGATCAGGATAGCAAGGCAAAGGCATTTCAAGACTTTAGACAGCAGAAGTAATGGTGATCTTTCCCCATCTTAGAATGGCAAAAAGATTTTATTTATTATACAATTCAGCCTGTCCATAGCAGGTGGTTGTAGAATTGAAATTCACATCTTCTTGCTGGCCTCCCAGCCCCACCTCCATCCCAGTGTCCCACAACTGTGGGATCTGGTGAGCATGTTACCTTGAGGGCATCCTTAAAGGGCACCCTGTTCCAGCCACCAGCTGGGGGAAATGTCCATGCTGCTTCTCTGGGGAGTTAAGGGGCACCTCCCGCCAGCCTCCATGGCCTCGTGTTCCCTGTGCTGCTGTAAGTCCTCCCTGAGCCCCAGGCTGCAGGGAGTGGCTACAGGTTCCCAGAGTTGTGCAGAAAAGCTTATTTGTGGGTGTGCCAGGAGCCACTCCAGGGATCTCTGCAGAACTGTGCACAGTGGGAGAGAACTCTCAGCAAGCAGGAGAGAAAAGAGGGAAGCAAGTGACCAGAGCTCCCTGGACAGAGCCAGAACAGGGCTGCAAGTGAGCAGCTCAGTCTGGGCAGTGTCGTGCACGGGAGGGGCTGGGAGTAAGCCATGCACAGTTCCCAGGGGCTGTGCCAGTGGTCTGGTCAGATGTGGGGGTTTGTTTGTTTGTTTGCTTTTGTTTTGTTTTTAGTACTGGGGATTGAACTCAGGGGCACTCAACCACGAGCCATATCCCCAGTCCTATTTTGGAATTTAATAAAGACAGGGTCTCACTTGGTTGCTAAGTGCCTCGCCGTTGCTAAGGCTGGCTTTGAACTCAGGATCCTCCTGTCTCAGTCTTCTGAGCCATTGGGATTACAGGTGTGTGCCACCATGCCCAGTCAGATGTGCTTTTTAGGATAAAGATACAAGATAGGGGAGGCATATAAGGTCCTGGGAGGAGAGCTGACTCCACAGTTTCACCCAAACCTGCTAAAAGATCCACTGAGACAGCAATTTAGGAGAGATAAATATGGAATCTTAAGGGAACCCTCCTCAAGCCATTAAGAGGCAGAAACACAGTTATAAACATGCCTTGTAAAATGAAGGAAATATGCAAGCCCAGGAAAACGGGCATGAAATCATGCAGCTCTACCTGGATCYGCCTCCAGCCGTTCTGTAAATACAGGACTCTCAGCCCAAGGTGGCTCTCACTCTGAAGACAGCCTGCGTTCATCCATCCTGGAACGTGTGTCTGCCTTTCTAACTAAAGCTGCCTGTGCCTTTTTGTGGCTCATACTGAAACTCTCCTACATCACCATGCCAAGAACCGGCTGGTCCCGAGTCGAGTTCCCCTCTTCTCTGGGAACTCCTGGGACCCTTGTCCAGAGACAGCTCCTCTCTGTGACAAACCTTCTTTTTCCTTTTTCTCAAAACCATGTCTTCGTTATTGAATTGGCCTAGGGGACAAGGACAGAGCTTTCAGTAACAAGAACACTTTACTAACAAGTCTCTCAGACAAAGCAAGACTTGAATGAATCACATCTGTGCACTGGACACCAAGAGCCCAAGGAGCTGAACCAGTCAGTGGCAGGAGGGCCATGTGCACATCTGCTCTCCTTACCTCTTTTCTCTATCTGCAACAGGTGTTTACCTAATGTCAGAGGTGTTGAATTGAAGAAGTCAAGTTAACTATGATTACCCTTTAGGGGAGGCTAATAAGCACATCCACGGGCTTTACTTCATCAGAGGCCTCATGCTGTGTTCATAGGCCAGTAATGTCCAGTAGGGAGGAATCCTATGGAAACCCGAGTCTGGAGATGAGACCAGATTCCCCCACTTCTCCAGTTTCCTTCTGGAGTCTTGTTTCACAAATTTTGAAGAATAAAAGCTACAGGCAATCATGGAAGGGAAGAGTAAATGAAACAGGACTTAATTAAGTGAGAAGAGGAAGAACTCCCGCCATGCGAGAGGGAGCCTGATAGCAGAAAACTCCATTTTGGTGTGCCAGCTTGAGAGCTTATAAATGGT